GGTGGGGGGAACGACCCGGCATGGAGAGGCCAGGCTGGGAGATGTGAAAGCTGAGCGTGAGCTGCACTCCCTGGGCTGGGGCCGCCCCCTCTGCCGGGAAGGTGCCTTCGGCCAGCCGAAAAGCTGGGCAGGGGGAGGCATGAGGCGGCTGGGGCTGAGCCGTCCCTCCTGTCCCATGTGTCTGCCTGGAGCCTCCGAGCTGTTGGGCTGAGGGGGCTGCAGGCATCACGGGGATGCAAGGAAGAGAGGCAGGGCTATAGGCTCCGTCCTCCTCGCAGAAACGCTTATATAAACACCCGAATGACCCTTTGTTGATTGCTACTTAGGGGCACTTTATGGCTTTCATGTGCTCTTAAATAAAGAGAGCGTGCTACATGGCTGCAATTATCCTGCCCTAATGAACTGTTGCCTAGAGTTGCTGTGAGCTGTGAAACTTTTTTACGGTCACTGAAAAATATACTCCCTTACTTGGCCCAAAACTTTACCGCACATTCCAGAGTTACTGCAGGACTTAAAATCATTGCTGTAATTACTGCAGTGTTTTAAAAATGATAAACAGAAAACATTCTATAATCTCCTTTTTAGCACAAGCTTTGTATTTGCTCTTTTCAGAAACTCAGGTTTTAGAAACCTGACAGAAGTTAAACATTGTTTTGTTTTGTGTTTCTGATGGTGCTGTGTAGTTCTTGGAAGTCAGAGGGTTCAGAGTCCAAAAAAGATGCTTAGGAAGCTAAGAGCAGGAGCAGATCAATACTGTCATTTGTCAGACGGTTTATTCCTCTTCAGGTCTTGATTGCAGAGACCAAGTGCATACAGTATAATTATTATGCACCAATATAATGAATGATAATTTGCGATGGAAATCTCTGAGAAACTGCAGACAGTGTATACTGTAACTACTTTTTTTCATTGAATCTATCATTAACCAAGAGAAAGATCTACCGATTTCTCCTATGTTTCTCTAGAACACACGGGGAGAGAGAGAGAGAGAGAAATAAATGTCTTTTGAGTCAGTTTGCACTGTACAAAGCTCCTGTTCAAGAAACAGGATGTCAGCATTTCTTGGAGCAATTGACTTAAAATGTCCATACTGAGTTACCAAAGATAGTAAAGCTGTACATGAGAAGAAAAAGATGCTAACTTTTACCAGAGCTGGTCATGAAAGGAAAAATCTTGTGGGGTTTTTTTTTCAAAAGAGATTAAATTCAAAGCTAAGCTTAAGGGTTGTCTCAACTAGAAGAGCTTGATTCTTCTCACTTAAACTTGTGTAAGGGAGGAGTAATTCCACTCAGACTAGTGATGTAAAACTGGTGTAAACAAGCTGTCAATGAGATTGGCATAAGGCTCAAAGTTTCCAGACTGGGTCTAAAATCAAATTCTGCCCTATATAGTAGTAAATAGAAGTTCTCCTAGCTCAGCAATATAGAGGATTTTGTCAGTTTGAAAAATGTTCTCTTTGTTGGCTTTGAGCCTATTTACACCAATGTAAATTACCAGTAAGATCACTGAACAACTGTTCAGCTCCATTAATTTAGTGGTCTTACTGCTGTTTTACACTTGATGCAAGTGTTACTGCAGTCAGGCTCCTCTTTTGTAAAGTGACTTTATCATAATATTGACTATTCTTACTCCTGTATGTCAGTGACAACACTGGGAGTTGAATCTTACAATAAATTATAATAATAGTAAGAAGTGTTTCCCTTTTTACACTCTGGGTTGGGCTATTCTGTAAGGATTTTTTGCAACATGGGTAGAGAAAGTAAAGTGTGCTTTTAAAGAACATGGGGAAAAATTAATTTTGCTATCCAATAAATCTTTTAAGAATTAAGAAGTACAATTGGTATCTGTGGGGTTGATGTATTTAACATACATTTATGGACCAGAGAACTTAAGATGACCAGTCAATGACTGACTGGAAATCGAATGGCTCCCCATCAAAATGAAAATAGCCCTACTTGTTAGGAAGGCGCTAGGGCTTTATCCTTAGTTTCTGCTGATTAATTCCTGCACTGTTCACATCCATTTTTTCCTAGCAGATATCCAGTACATTTGAACAACACCTCTTCCTTTTTGTTGAAAAAGGAGCTTTTTGTTCTCTTCTTCCCAGCAGACAGCATGTTCTGAGGTATCTCCACTACTCTATTCCAAGAACTTTAGGCTTTGGTTTTGGTTCCTTTGGCTCTTCCCCAGTGTCTGCTGCAGCTGCTGCTCGTAGCTTTATCAAGACAAGAATAAAATTAACATTATTCTTGTCAGTTTCACATTTGCCCAAAATATTCAAAATACTGACCATGAAACCGACCAGGGTATTGTTAATTTCAAACTGCTACTGCTCTAGGAAATTTTGAGCAGCCCTAGACATGTTTCTTCTCTGGCATTCCACCTGACAAGCACACACAGTCAAGTCTCTTCCCTATGCCTGGGTTTCTTCTCTCTGTATCTCTGCCTAAGAGGGCAGGAAGACTAATCAACAGTTTCCTGTGGAGCCAGCACATGACCTGCAACTACAGCTACGACTTTTAAAGGGCACAAGGCTGCAACATAGTGCAATGGGACGTGAACTCCAGTGTCTTGTTATAGCCCCATTCCTGACTTCGGAGCCACACTGACTTCCATGGGGCTTATGCAGGAACAAAGGGTTGCTTTTGTAGAGCTCATATCAGGATCAGGGCCTAAAATGGTTATTTCTCAATACAAATTGATTTTTTTCTTATACTAATTTTACATGTAAGAAATCAGACCGAGAGAGGTTAAGTGACTTGCATTAAGGCCATATAGGACTTGAGATTACAGGAGTTCCTAGTCCTAATCAGGGTCAGATCAAAATTTTTGGGGCCCTCTGCTTTGTGGAAATTGGGGGTGCCTGAATAGAACTGTGACCTGTCAGTTTTATTTTCTTTTTCCTTTGGGGTTGGGGGCGGTGGGGAGGGAGGAGAGAAGGGAAGAGATGGAAAACATCTGCAAGTACAGGCAGTCCCCGAGTTACGCGGATCCGACCTATGTCGGATCCGCAGTTACGAAAGGGGCCCATCTCCCTGGTCTCCAGCAGACCAGGGAGAGGAAGCAAAGCGGCGGAGCACGCGGGCAGCGGACA